ATTATCCAGATGATACATTAAGGTAAATATACATTTCTCGTGAGCTTTTTTTTATAAAAATATTTTGTCAATTATAAATTTTTACATATTTCTTTTTTCATGTAGAACAACCATTACAAATGCAGCATTAATTGTTATGATTAACAATGCATATTCCCAAAAGCAACTTTCTACGGTAAATTTTAAAAATTGATAAACTTTCTTTTTCGTATTAAATTTTCATAAAAATATGTCAAATATCTTAGAGATACGTAATAAACAATTTTTTTCTTTTTCTTTGTAATACCTCATATACATATATATATACAGAGTGTCCCATAATTCGCGAACCACCGCGAATGGGCAGATAGAGCGTGTTAAACTGAATAGAAAAGTCCTGTATCATTTTGCGATATTCGCAATAATTATTGAGTTATTTATTAAAATATTAAAATATCTAAACGAATAAGCAGGTAGAAAGCATTATTTGATACAGAGGCGGCGTCATGCAGCGAGCGGCGAGCAATGTACTGGCGCCGAAAAGTAAGATGATACTTTTGATACTAAGCGGCATATAACAAATAAGTCGTCCGAAATCCACACCGAGTCCGGCCTACCGCTTTCTACCCGCTCATTCGTTTAGATATTTTAGTTAATAACTCAATAATTATTGCGAATATCGCAAAATGATACAGGACTTTTCTATTCAGTTTAACACGCTCTATCTGCCCATTTGCGGTGGTTCGCGAATTATGGGACACCCTGTATATATATATATATATGTTTATATATATCGATATATTTATGCTAATAGTTCAAAAAATTGTCGTATTTTTGTTTTATAAAATAAAATTTATTTTAGATAAAAGAATTTGCACTGGAATTATATTTGAGTACTAAAAATAAGTTAAAGATACGTTCTGAACAACTGGTCAGTCAGGTGAAATTTTATGAAGATATATATGCAAAGATTGCAAAGCCTTAATACATTTAACTATATCACTAAAAGTTTAACTTCAACAAATACACCAACAATATTTCAAGGAACAAACTATTTATACATACATATATATATACATTATGTGTACTGTATATATGTATATCTATTAAATATTAAATAGTAAATCGCAGATGTTTAGCAAATATTATATATTAATATTAATCTATAAGAGGTATAAACTATATAAAGTATAATTAATAATTTATTAATTTTTACATTAGTATTACTATTGATGTTACTATTACAGTATTACTATTACTGTACTGTAGTATTACTATTACTCTATTATTAGTATTACTATTTTTATTAATTTTGATAATTATTTTAATATTAACACATTTATGATGTTATATATATTAATAATTTTAATTTTATTGTAATATAACACATATTATAATAACAAGATTTAATGTAATATTAATTGTAATCCTAAATTTTTATTTTGTATGTTTATTTTCTATTTTCTAAAAAAATTTTTTATATCTTTTTAAATATATGTATAATACATTTGAATAATATTGTCATACAAATTTTTTTATATACATACGCACTTTTTCTATCTCAATTTTTCTGTATTTTAAAATACTGTTTCTTTTTGAATTAATTTTTATCTCATGTTATATTCTTTTTCACTATTTTCTTTTATATTACGTTTCTCTTTTATATTACAGTTTTTTAATAATCAAATAAGATAAAATAAAATGTGTAAATAAATATATTTTCTTTTATATTTATTAATGAGAAAGGTAAAATTTAGGAAGTTAAAAAAATAAAATTTAAATCTCTAAACATATTCTAGTATTATATTTGAATATTTAATACGCGTATTTTTAATAAGTTAATTTTAGAAAGAAAGAAGAAGTCAAAATAATATGAAATTAAAGAAACCATATTGTGAGTCACCAATTTAGCTTCAAACACATTGAATTTGAAAATTTAAATTTTTTAAGCCTTTAAGAACTAGATGGTACTGCTTAAGTTTAAAAACAATATTATTTTTAACAAAAATTTATTTAAAAACGACATATACAGAGTGTTCCAGACTTAACGTGCCATCCGTTAATGGGATATTCCTGAAACCATTTGAAATGAAAATTCTAATACTAAAATGTCGAAGCTGCATTAGTTTTCAAATGAGCAGTTATAAAAGTTTATAATTGGCTAATCAAAAAATCGTCCGAAATTCGCAAATATTAAATATATAATTATTAACAATAAGAAAATAATTGAAATCAATAAGTAAGTATAAAATGTGTATTAATTTTTTATATATCTATTATTAATATATTATACAACAATATTTTATACATACTTATTGATTTCAATTTTTTTTATTGTTAATAATTATATATTTAATATCATAAATGTTAAATTAACTTTTATACTATTTTATTTTAATATTTATATAAATATTGATTACATTTATATAATATTTATTATGTAATATGTATACACATGCATACATACATATATACATATACACAAAGTTTTATATATTAATTAGGTATTTAAATCTGTAAGAGTAACAAATATTAAATTAATAAAATTAAAATTTAATAATAAATTTAATGTCAAAAATATATATTCTCGTATGTTTATTCGGCACCTTCTAAAAAATCTTTACATTTTTTCTTGAATGCATAACTTTAGCGAATAATATTGCCGATAATTTAGTGTTTATAAATCAAACTTCCTTTATGTAAAAATATTTTATTACTTAAGACTGTGCTTTTTATAACTAATTTTTATATAATCATACCTTATTAAACCATTTCTATTTTATTTACTAATTGCATGTACTATCATAATAAAAAGTTTTATTTTATCAAAATGAAAAAGTTTTTTATTAAATTTAAGTACAGTTTAACTTCTTAAAGAAATAAATAAGAAACATAATTTTGATGAAAATAGAAAAATATGAAATAATGTACATGTACAAAAATCAGTGAAAATTAAACAATATTTATTTCTTAATGCGTGGAATATACAATTTCTTCATTGGATTTATGTATGCTTAATTTTGAGACAATTTTAAATATTAAATTTAAAATATCTTTTGGTAATTAACTTATCAATCGCGTTTTGACTTCCATCGATCTAATAACAATCAAAAGTCTTTTATTATTACGCGTATAACTTTGTATATTTATTTATGTATTTCATATTCTATCGCAAACGTTGTCTTCGATAGTCTTTCGAGAAAGCAAGATTAAAATTGAGCAATACACTGTTGCCTAAAATAACGCCTGTTATTCAACAAACAAAAGGATAAAGGTCTGTGAAAAATAGAATATTTTAATATAATATTTTTTTGAAATAAATGTATATAAAAATATGTAAAAAGGACACAATTGCAGAGCTTTTGTTTTTTAAAGAATATTTTATTTTATTTCTTAGAAAAAATAATACTATTTATTTCAACTATCTCTATATTCAATTATCTCTATATTCTCTGCATAATATATTTAAAACCTTTTCAGTTTTGTAAAAACATTTTTTAATTTGTTTCATCTTATAACAAATTGTGTATACTTGTTTAATTTATTTTACCTCAAAAAGATATCGATAATTAATGCTTTCTGTAACATTATTGCAAAATTAAGTAAATGCTTTTTGTAATATTATTGAAAAATTAAATATGTCATAATTATGAAGAAAGGAACAAATATAAATTTTAATTTTTTTTTAAAAAAGTGGTTCTACAATAATAAATATTGTCTCTTTTTAAGTTCAGATTAATTTGTCATAAGACGATATAAAGACATAATTTGAATTGAGTTTAATTTTGCGACAACTAATTCTTCGTTATCCGTTTTTTGGAACTAAACATTACACATACAGTAACACATAATTATGATGACAAACATATTGATAAACAGCTGAAAATACAACGGTTAAAACTTAGTTATTAATGATAAGATATTATTTTATACATTTTTGTGCAAAATTTATTTATTATATGTTTCCGATTATAACATTTATAAAAAATCGAATTAATTTATAAAAAATATTAAATAAACAAGTTTTTATAGACATTTTAATTTGAAAAAACAGAAATACGAACAATATATAGCTTAAATATAAACATTTAAATACGAACAATATATAGCTTAAATATAAACAATATACACAACTCCCTTTTATAGTGTATATTATTTAATATTCGGTATTACTACTTACATTTATTATATTACATTAGTATTTACAATGGTTATTTCAATTTATTATTTATAATTTTAGTATTTAAATAGTATTATATATATATATATATTTTTTTTTTACTTAATAATTCTATTTACTTATAAACGATTTATGTTTTACAATATACATTATAAATTAATCAGCCATTGGTCTATGTAATATTAAAATTTAAAAATTTAATTGTCAAAATTGAATATTATACATTATTAATAGAATTTATAAAAAATTTTTTAAATTAAAATTAACATACATTGCGTAGTCAAAGTAGATAAACTATATTGTTCATACAAACTCTTTGTTAAATTGATAACCTATATGTATTTATAAATTGGTGTATTTCTTTTGCAATTTTTAACTTGTGTTACCTTACTTATGTTTTCTGTTTAATTCTTTTATTACTAGCAAAGAAATTTAATTTGTAGTTGATTATTATTATTAATGATTATAAATACGCATTATTTAAATATTTGAAATACTTTTTTCTTTTTATTTTTTTTTATTTTCTTTATTTTAAATTTCTATAATTTTTATTTCATAAAGATTTTGTTTCGTGTTTTTGTTAAAAAATTTTAATATTTTAATATTTTAATATATATATTTTTATTTTAATTTATTAATTTTTTAGTCTAGGTTCCTTATTTTTTTTGCAATTCTATTTATTTGACTCTTTGAGTTTCTATTTTCGTTTTATTGTTTTTTTTATACTTCTATAGCAGTCGCGATATTATGCATATTTTCTTTCCACGTTCCTTATTTGTTTTTTTGTTTAATTATTCTTACTATTAGCAAAGAAATAATTTTTTATTTTCAGATTTTTGAAATCCAATATGATGTTTCTAGAATGGTCATTAAATATATTATTATACATTACTGTAATAACAATGGCCACTTTTACCAATGAAAACGCAAAAATTCCGTGCCATACCGTACCTAATTACCGTAATTCATCGAACAACGACTGTATAATGCCGATTCATTACAACCTGGATATGATAGTGTTACCAGGCATTTCATTCATTGGCGAGTTGAATGCCACTTTTTATATTAATTGTGAAATATCAAACATAACTCTACATATTGCAAGATCCGAGCATATAGTGAAAGTGATGCTTAAATCGCCTAATGGAACAATCTATACTCCAAATTTTGATTATTCGAGAAATTTTGCTACTTTCAATTTCATTAAATATTTATCGCCTGAAAATACACACTTAGATTGTGGAGTTTATACAATGTACGTGAAATATGAAATCATATTTGTTCACCGGCATTATGGAATGTACTATATAAAAAGAGAAGATAGAAGAGATAAAGAGTAAGTATATTAAAATAATAAAAGTAGTATATAATAATTAATACATGAGTAAACATGTAATAATAAAAATACGCTAATATTTATATACACATATATGATATACAATGTTGTAGTATACTTAGATGACTTTAAAATTATCTAGATAAAAGTGAGATAAAAATTTGATAAGATGAATGTTAATTTAAATTTATATATATCTAGATAAAAGATATAGTTATATTGTGAATCATTTAGATAACATTATTTTTAAAATCGCTTATGTAAAGAGTTATACAGCTTATAAAAACAATGTAAATTATAAAAGAGGTATATAAAATATATTTATTTTTTATTTGTACGTTTTTATTGCTCACTGCTTAAATTTTACTACTATATGAGTATATATATGTATATGCGTATGCGTGTGCGTGCGTGCGTGCGTTTGTGTGTGTGTGTGTGTGTGTGTGTGTGTGTGTGTGTGTGTGTGCTAGAACTCTTAATCAAATTATCTGAACATTATTTTACAATAGATATAATTAAATAGGAATAACATTATTTTTATCTAAGGTGCATAGATATAAATAATATATATTTTTAGTGTTATACGAAAGTAAGCTGACATCAAAATTTTATCTAGATCATTTGTATTATTATACTTACAATTAGATAACAGAAAACATTCTGATGATATACTTTTTAAATATTATCTATAAATTTCTCTGGTACATTCTGCAATCTTTAATGTTCCTACACAACTGCACAAACTTGTTGTTATTATAATTTAAAGCTTTTTACTTTAAAATTTAGGTTTCTATTCGCAAATTTACTTCAACCGAGAAATGCTCGACAATTATTTCCGTGTTGGGACGACCCAAAATTAAAAGCAACTTTTAACATCACCGTCAAATTGGATACAAGATACTATGCTATATCGAATACGATACCAATAAAAGTCGATTTTTCGTATAACGGGATGATACGTTTACTGTTCCACATGACACCTAAAATTTCTGTAAACGATGTCACGATTATAATGTTCGATTTGCAACCAGATTATATTTCCAAGATAAACAAGATCTATTTTTGGAGCAAATGGGATTTGATACCTTACATGAAATGGGCGCAATATGTTGCGGGAAATGTAAGCATGTATTTAGAAAACAAATGGAGGATTATTTCAAGAAGCGAGCCAAAAATGGATTATGTAATTATTCCGATAGACTTGACCGAGTATAAAAGGCGGAATTGTGGAGTGATTTTATTCAGGTAATACATTATTTAAATAAAAATAATTTTAATTATAGTTTAATAAAGTTATAATATTTTTTAGCTTTGTAAAGATTTATTATAATTCCGAAGCATAAATTTTTCTACATTAATTATTTAAATTTTGGCTTACTTAATCAGATATACATATATGTAACAGAGTAGTAATTATTCAGTAACGTTAATACGCTACTGAATAATCACTATTTTAATATACCTTACAGAAAAAAATGGTACAAGACTTTTCGACTCAGTTTTCTACGAGGAATATTGCCATATAAATATTGGGTGTCAATTAAGTGACACCCTGTATACATATATGTATATATATGACTGCATATTTATGAGTTTATTTAGTCTGAATTTCAAATTTTAAATACATATATATATATATATATATATATATATATAACATATATTAATATCTAAAATAATTTAGATAAGTTATTTCAATAAATCATCGTAATCAGTTAAATGTTAAAGTTAAATTACACAAGAACTTAGATATATCACGTAATAGTCATTTGATATATAGACATTTAATATTTAATAATACTTTACTTATTGTGTATCATTAAAAATTTAAATTATTAATTTGGAAATTTTATATATATATATATATATATATATATATATTATATATTAATATTACAATAAATAACAATCTAATAATATAATATAATTATATAATATAATAATTATAATAATAATAATTGTAGTAATAATAATAATAATAATAATATGATATTATTAATTTTTAAAATATTTTGATATAAATTATTTATTTACAAACAATTTTCAGCAAAACAAATATTATCTACAACAAAGAATTTTATCCTGTTGTATTTAAAACTTTAGCAATGCGTTCAGTAGCTCATAATATATTACATTATTGGTTTATTAATTTTTTCTATTCGTTATGTCGATTTTTCTGGTGGTTGAACAAAGGCTTTGTTGTGTTCCTCGAATCATATATCATCGATAAGGTTGTTTCATATTTATTAAGTATAGAAAAAAAATTTGTTATTTAAATTTTTATTATATATAAACTTAAAAAATATATTAAGTGTAGTTAATAAGTACATGTAAATTATGTTATTATAATTTAAATAAATTTTGCACACAAACACACAAATAAATATTTTAAATACAGTACCCTCCACAAGTTTGGAAACACCTTACATTTTACAGTTAAACAGTCGTATGACAGCGATCTGTGCAGATTTTTTGTATGAATAAATTGTAAAAAAACGTAAAATATTTGAATAACATTTATATTTATGACAGATTGCTGTCATACAATTGTTTAACTGTAAAATGTAAGATGTTTCCAAACTTGTGGATAGTATATGTACTGTAATAATATTTGTAATAATATTTTTATTTCAAATTATTACATATTACTCATGTGAAAATTCTATAAATATATTTAAAATTATAATATCTAATATAAAAATGCTTTAAATAATATAAAAGCTTTTATTAAATATAAAAGGTTTGTCTAGAAATAACAAATAATTGTACACATTAATAAACATTATTAATCCAATCAAACATTATTTATTCAATCTCGTTTTTCTTTCTGCAGATATATCCGAATTCTCGGATGATGGACTTGTTTGTAGTTCAAATTCGAGATAATTCTCATTATTTACATCCATTTGCTGTAGATTATTTTAAAGAAAATTCTAACTATATGTTTAAAATAAATTTACCTTCTCCGTTTTCTTATACTGTAGGTATGTTTGTATGTGTATTTGATTTATGTAATGTAATTTGATTGGTATAAAGTATATTTACAAATACATTAATAAAATTTGTAAATAATTTGTAAACAATAGTCGGAATGGCTGACTATAAATATCTAAGAAAAGATAAAAAGTTTTAAATTTACAATTATTTCTTCTTATGTTTATTCTGCTAAAAGTAAAAGTAAATTATATTTAAAATTAGTTCTTTTTTTATTATATTAGTTTATAATAGTTCTGTTTATGAATTTATGAATATGATGGGTGTTAAATTTGTAAATAAATGTGTATATATATATTTTTTTTTTTTAACATTTTTTATATTTATATTATAGGAGCAGCTTTATGGCGCATGTTAGAAAGAATAATTCCATCTAACGTATTTTGGACAAGTATTGACAAATATTTAAACAGAAAGTAAGTAATACTTACAATGTAATATAATAATATTAGTTTATAAAAAATTTTTTTATTTTTTATTCTCATTTAGATGGTGTTTTTTTCAAATTTTCAAAAATCTTATAAAATTATGGAAACAATTTTATGCTGAAAACGATGACGTAAACCAATTTTTACCAGTACGTCAGGTTTTTGAAATAATTGAGATTTATTATGTAAGAAATAGTTTTTGTTAAATAATTAAAATTTTTTAGATAATATGATTAACATTAGTTGGAAATTTAGCAAAACTCTGTATTTAAATCCTTTTCAACACGACTCAAAAGTAAGATATTGAAATACGAATGATGTGTATTATAAGGAATGAACTATCGTTCAACCTTCTCCCCTTGATATGATGATCAGATTATTAAATAACGTTATTTTTTTTATAAATAATCTCAAAAATATTGCAAGAAAATCTTTTTTTACACATTAAATCTCAATTATTTTGGAGAACTGAAATGCTAATGAAAAATTTAGTTTTCGACACCGTTTTCACAAGTCAAAGTTTAGAAAAATTATTTTATTTGGTTTAAAATAATTTTTAGCTGTAATATGGTGTTATTTTTATCATTAAAACACATAGAGACACACATACAGGAAAGTAAATACAAAATAATAGCAAAACCTAAAAAACTTTCCTAAAGAAGATAAAAACTGAATGATTAACATATATTAAAATATATTTAATGACAAACCAAACTTCCATAAGTAACAAACATAAGAAAATAAAAAAGATATTAAATATTGCAAATTATTATTAACTTCGTTAATTAATAAGTGAATAAAGACAGAGATAAACGTAATAAAAATATATAATGTATATAAATATTCATATAGATGTCGAAATAATATATTTTAAGGTCTCTTAAATATAACAAACTTAATATAAATATTAAAATAATATATGTACCAAATACACTTAAACACGTGTATACATTTTTTAATGCTATTTATTTATTTATATTTTATTAATTTGGAAATGTAGATTATTTTGTACGATGTGTGTATAAAAATTATTATCTTGTTCTTTATGTCATCATAATTTGATTTTCGTGAGAATCGACATTAATCTAAGTGAATTATTCTAGCAATATCAATAAGAACGAATAATTATCATAATTTTATATTTTCTAATTGCTACTCAGTGGTGTATGGTGTTATCACATTTTTAAATTTTACAGATTTATTTCTTCTGATATGGCAAATACTTTCAATGATTTATGGAGCATTATGCCGATTCCTAAAAGTGTATTAAAACTAATAAAATATAATTTGGACATAAATAAGATTATGGCTTTTTGGTCTACGCAGCAGCATTATCCCGTGCTAAATGTTACACGATATTATTCTGGAAATAGTGCGAAAATATTCTTAGAGTTTCAGGCCGACATGGATCAGAATCCATATTGTATACCTGTCACATTTACTGAAGAAGCAAGTATCAATTTTAATGTAACTGGTTCAGATATTTATTTGACGCCCTCAAATCCAAAGTGGGAAATACAGTTCTTTTATCCAAAAAAGTGGATAATTTTCAACTTACAACAAATTGGTAAATATTAAATCACGAAGTTTAATATGTTCGTATTTTGTTATTATACAATAAATATATCTTTTTCATTTATTTTGTTTCTTACATTTCTCTATAAAGAACTGTAAATACATTGTAAATACGACAAACAATAAACAATAATATGAAAAATATTCTTTTAAAGTATTCCGCAATATTTCCGCAATATTAAAATTTATGATTACATAAATGATTAACACACTTTGCATGTAAATGTCATACTAATTTATAACAAAAAATTATTTTAAAACGGACAAAGTGTTCCTTATAGATTTTTGGGTGCTAAAAAGTTGGCTTGCACAATAAAATTTATAAGAATCACCTTGGTTAGTTTAAAATAATGCAAATAATTTAAACTATTGTTACTTTTTTGTATTGTTACTCAGTTGTTGTTTATATAATTCCTTTATAGATTAATCTGTTTTTCAGAACAGTATATCTTTTTTTCAATTATCGACATTTTATTTTATAATTCACAATATATAATAATTTGCCATTATTTATTGTAAAATATGTGCCCAATTTCCAGTACAATTAATACGCTTTTAAATCATCATAAAATAAAAACATATATATTCGAAATATATTTTACTTCTTATATTTTGACCAAAAAAGTAAATATTAAAATTTATGCCGTGTGCCGTGTACAGGATTTTATCGCGTCAATTATGATGACGAAAATTGGAAATTAATTGCACGTTACTTAAATTCTGAACAGTATACAAATATACATGTTCTGAATCGAGCCCAAATCATCGATGACTCATTCCATCTCATGACACAGGGGAAACTTAATTTTTCCACATTTTGGGAACTCTCGAGTTATTTATGGCAAGAGAAATTCTATGTGGCATGGTATCCTATGTTTAAAGCTCTGGAATACATGTCAAATATTATTCCATTTTTTAATTCTGAACTCCATCCTTCAGAAGTATTTAAGGTATTTTATATTATATCGATAAATTTTTTTACATATTAGAGAGATCCAAAACATTTAAAAATATTTGATGTTTGCTAGAAATATTTAAAAATAAAAAATTAAATATTTTATTTTTTTTTCTAACATTAATATTTAACATATTATATATATATATATATATATATATATATATATATATATATATATATCGGCTGTGGAGTCTTACGCGAAGTCTTTACGTCTGTTATTAGCGAAACTTAATTTTTTCGCTAATTAGAAATAGTATTTTTGGTTTAATTTTCCAATTTATGTGCTCCCTTTTTTAACTGTTCTGTAAAGTTATAGGCGAAAAAAATGTCAGCCCAAAAGTCGGTTAAATTAATATTTAAAATGCAGTAAACTCTATTATGCATCTGAAAATTTATGAATATAACAAATAAATTTATAAATAGATCAAATAAAATTATCTTCAAGTATCTGTATATAAATTAATCATATATAATTAAAGTGTTAATTTTAAAAGGAGGATGTTAAAAAGGTCGATTTTCCGACTATCGATGGAACCTAAAATTCGAGTTCTATGGGTATCTATGAACCATATAATGTAAAACTAATGGTTTTTTTTCTTAGAGACTTAAGAAAAGTATTGAAAATCTATCAAAACTATTGAAAATAGCGTCATTCGATCGATCTGAAGACAACTAAAATCGATGACATATGGATGAATTTTCAATGAAACCAAGTTCTGGTTAAACACTTATCAAATAGTTTTCGAGATCAATTATGTTTTAATATCGGGATCGCAAAATTCAAGATTGCGGATCCAATATGGTGGATCAGTATTAAGAGAAACTAGACGCCAGGATGTAGTTACTTCCAAATAAAAATCTGATTCCACATTCAAATTCATAATGTTTTTTAGTTTGTTTATTTAAATATTTTTGTTTTATTGTTGAATAGAATTTTTTAGTTCTAACAAAAGAATATTAATAGTAAATAATTAATATTCTCTATGTTAGAACTAAAGAATTCTATTCAACAAGGACACAAAGATATTTAAATAAACAAATTAAAAAACATAATGTATTTCAATGTGGAATCAAATCTTTTATTTGAAGTAACTACATTTTGGAATCTATTTTCTTTCAATACTGATCTACTATATTGAATTCGCAATCTTGAATTTTGCAATTTCGATATTAAAACATTATTGATCTCGAAACTATTTAATAAGTGCTTTACCAAAACTTGGTTTGATTGAAAATTCATCCATGTCATCGATTTTATAGTTGTCTTTAGATCGATTAAATGATGCTATTTTCAATAGTTTTGATAAGATTTTCAATACTTTCCCCAGGTCTCTATGAAAAAAGACCATTATTTTTACACCTTATATAGTTCATAGATACCCATGGAACTGGACTTTTGGGTTCCATCGATAGTCGGAAAATCGATTTATTCTAACTTTCTCGTTTACTAAAATAAATAATAAAGCACTTAAAATCTAACATGAGACATGCAATAAACTAAATATTCAACAGTAAATTTATGTGAATGATACTATTTTTTATAAACTAATAACGTAAATAAAATAAATATGAAGAATTATTTAAAAACGGTCTTAGTATAATATAACATAAAACATAAAATATAAGCAAATTAATTTAAATTTTATGATTTATTTTAAAAATATATTACAAAAATTTATCAAATAGAGTTGGAAGTATAAAAATGTATAAGAAATACGATAATTATAATGTTTAATGTGATATATTTTTAAATACAAACAGAAATCTTACTAATTACTTTACAAATCAATTTTATATAAAAATTGAGATTTTTTTATAATTTTTAAAGAATGTAATGTAATATATCATAATTTTTTCAATTACAAACGCATGTATTACATAATGCTGTTGTACAGAATTAAATGTTTATTTATTATTATATGTATATGTAATATATATTTGTTATTATATTTATCTTTAAAATAATTTAATACAAAGATATTTTATTCGTCTAATTGCAGACAATATTAGGAAAATAAAAAATCTGTTTGAACGTGTAGAAAAACACATGAACGATGACATGGCATCTAGTAAATACGATATTGATAAATATTTAATGCAGGAAATTGCAAAATGGAGCTGCATTATGAACAATACTTCATGTATTGAAAAGGCCAGAACACAATTGAGATTGCATGTAGAGAATCCTCAAGATGATAGGTAAATTTTAATGAAATTTATATATTTGTATAAACATCTATTTTTAAAATTTTATAAGTATATATTTGATATGTTACCCGATGAGAAATTTATATGTACATAATTATATATGACTGTATGCACTTGTATATGTTCTATTTATATATATATATATATATATATATATATACACACACATATACGCACACACATACATTATATATATTAGATCGTTCATAAAGTTCTGCGGCTTTTTTACTTTAAATTGAAACAAACATCCATATATCTTTTTCGTCATTCCAAGCTGTTTTAAGTTTCAACAGTAGTATGAGCGATATTAAAGAGTTTCGCGATCTCCCGCGTCGTTAGATGCCGGTCAATTTCGATTGCGGCCAAAATTTGGTCATCAGTTGTGGATGATCGACCGGAGCGAGGAGCATTTTCGAGGTTCATATTTCCAGAACGCAAGCGCGCAAACCAACTCTGGCAAGTGCCGGGGCTTATGACCGAATCCCGGTACACATCACATATTTCGCGTTGTGCGTTTGTCGCTTCTACTTCTTTCTGATAACAGAATAGCAAAATGTATCAAAAATGTATTTTTGATTCTCCATTACCAAATAGTACGCGTACAAAACATGTCCAAATGCAACAAAGTTTTTGGCGAAATGTCAAGCGTGATCTAAACTTTCAAATGGTATGAAATAACTCGCGGTTCAAGCGGTGCATGTTATGTTTTTCAGCCGTTCAATAAAGCCGTAGAACTTAGTGAACAGCCTAATACATATATACCCAGATAGCCATAGTAATTATTATGATATCATTTTGATGTCGTAATAATTACTGTGGCTATCTGGGTACATATATATATATATAAATTATGTATTAATATATATAACAATACATATGTATAAAGTATGTTTACTTATATGTAAATTTTATATATATATATATATATATATATATAATACATATATACATTTATTAAAATCATATATATATATATATATGTATATATGTTTTTTTATATTGTACAATATTTATTGTATATAAAAATTAATTTTTATATAAATAAATTCCTAGTAAACATTATGCATAAAAAATTTAATATAAAATAGTCAAGAATTTTCGATTTTACAAGATATTTTATATTGTAAATTGACATTTTGATATAAATTACAAAATATTTTATAAAATATTTAATTATTCTATACCTAAAATATTAATATAAGATTATATAGTATATTAAATATTTTACAAGATATTTTGTATTTTTATATTAAAATGTCAGATATAAAATATCTAGTTCTATTTTTTTGATAATATTACTCTTATAATTTTTATGCAAAATGTTACAATAAATATATTTTCATAAATACACTTAAAGTTGTGCCATTAAAATAAATCGAGTTGATTATTAATATTATTATTATTTATGTTTATTATTATTAATTATATTTATTGTAATTATAATATTTGATTATATTTATTTTTATGTTTTGAAAGATTATATGCTAATTAATGATATATAATAAATATGTTAAATAAAAAACATTTCTTTTTTTGTATGTCGTAGGATTTTGCCTGGATGGCAGAAATGGATATTTGTAATGGTTTATTATATGTGAATAAAAGAATGTGGGTTAATATATCTTACTCCGCAATTAATATATATAAAAAGAAATTTGATCATAAAATATTCGAATTTCTTAGTTGTTCCGAAGATCCTGCAATTGTCTATAGTTACCTGAACGGTTACTTATCGTCATTAGTAATTTGTTTTTTGAGAGTGATGAAGCATTAGGAAAAGTAAACGTAATAAAATGTATATTTGGAGATTAATATTTTTATGCCTACTATTGCGAGACATGTTAAGAACGAAGCAGTATTTAAAATAATATTGAAAATTTTATTAACTTAATTGATGTATACGTTTGAATAATCCATATAATACATTTGGGTAAATATAAATTTCTCGTGAGCTTTTTTCATATAAAAATATTTTGTCAATTATAAATCTTTACATATTTTTTTTCATATAGAGCAACCACTATGAATGCAGTATTAATGTAATGATTAACAATGCATATTCCCAAAAGCAACTTTCTGAGGTAAATTAAAAAATTGATACATTTTTATTTCCGTATAATTTTTTATCAAAATATGTCAAATATCTTAGACATACATAATGAACAATTTGTACTTATATCTTAAAATATCTCATATACATATATATATATACATATATATTATATATATATATATATTATATATATATATACATATATCGATAAATTATGCTAATAGTTCAAAAATTTGTGGCATTTTTGTTTTATAAAAAACGATTGATAACTGCTTCGTAAAAAATAAAATTATTTTAGATAGAAAAAAAATTTATTACTCTATCATACAAAATTTACTTTGAATGTTAAAAACAAGTTAAAAGCCGTTCTGAACAACTGATCAGTCAGGTGAAATTTTATAATGATATATATGCAAAGATAGCAAAAGCCTTAATAGATCTAAATTTATTGTTAAAAATTTACTTCAGCAAATACACCTAACAAATTCAGTAACGAACTGTTATACATACGTATATATACATTATGTGTACTGCATATATGTATATCTATTAAATATTAAATAGTAAAACGTAGATGTTTAGTAAAGATTATATATTAATATTATCTATACGAAGTATAAACTATATAACGTATAATTAATAATTTATTAATTTATTAATATTTAAAAACTATATTAATAATTAGTATTAGTATAAGTGTTACTATTACTGTATTACTATTACTGTACTGTAGTATTACTATTACTCTATATTAGTATTACTATTTTATTAATTTGATAATTATTATTATTTTTAATATTAACACATTTATAATGTTAT